AGATACATATCATCAACAGCAGGTCTCAGTACAACTGAGACCTCACTGCTTCCTAGATCTGGTCGCATCGATGGCCAATCCAATGAGCTGGCTAATAGGTCCACCACGTCTCTTTTTTCTCCTGCGTTCTTGTTTTCCGGAGTTGTACGACATCATCTCAGGATGCTGTTGAGACTCGAGCTCAGGACCTCCCTGAGCCGGTGCCTCGCAGGCCTCATACTCTGTCGTGCGTTGACGGACTTCCAGAGTCATTCCGACTCCCAGACAGATCCCAACAATCACGATCTCCTCCAGAACAGCCATGACCAGGAAGACAGTGACGTTTCCGGTCAACATGTTGAACGTGGGGTTGTGCGTGAATACCGACAACAGGGAGTATATGAGGCGCACGAGAAGCAACGGAACTGAGATTCCGACTGCCAAAACCAAGCGATGTTCGCCATCCTCAATGCTTCCATACTTGCTTCCGACGACGAGTAGCAGGGCACAGAGACAGCCCCATGCGATGACGTATAGAACGTCGCCAACTTTGGCTTCTGTACTGTTCGTGATTCCCTGAAGGCTCGAGCTGTTGCTTGCACCAACAATACAAAGAACCATGCCCGCCAGTGTGAGGAGACCGACTAATCTGAAGAAGGCTGGAAGGAGGCCTCGTCCGGTTTTTCGTTGGATAGACTCGTTACTGGAGTACGAGGGACTGGTTAGTTTCTTGACGACTTAGAGCAGATCAGAATGACACGTACACTCGGGACAAGAGACCGATGCAAGTGGAAATCAGAGGGGCAAGTCCGATGGAAGTGCAAACTCCCCATGCGATATAAAGGTCAATGGTCTCAGGGTGGGCTATCGTGGCCAGGTAGCAGCACGAACCAACAATGCGAGCCAAGGAGAAGATTATTAAGAGAACCCAGCCAGCATTTCTCTGGAAGCCATGGTGGAAGCCCATGTACAACGAGATGAATAGGGACGGGAAGTATACGATCAATTCCAAAATTGAGAGACCATGTCGGTAGTTGACGGCCATGATTGCGATAGAGAGACGAACAACGAGTCAGTGTCTCTTACGGGCTAGAAGAGAAAGAAGTGTTGACTTCAGAACAATCTGCTTCATTGGAATGTCGATAGAGGAGAGGCAAGTTATATAACGATTTCAGGCAACCGTTATTCCCCCTGTTGAAGACCGCTATAATCCTAGCAAGATCACACATTTTCTTCACGGTACCAATACCTGCACCCGCAAGGCTGTGCCTCCCTGGAATGTACCTCAAACAAGCGTCTATCGGGAGCTTGAGGCTATGCTTAGCCATATCGTTCTGCCCAACCAAAGGCCATAATGAAGGCCAGATGGAGCAAACTTGATGGATATTTCAACGACAATATTCGTGGACGGACATCGGGTCCAATCAGAACACGGTATTGCTCGCCCTGCTTCCCCGATGCGGCTAGACCAACCCCACCGGACTGGGGCTTCGCTGGACTCGTGGCGTTTGGTGATCCCTCAATACGAACTTCATCTATCTTGCTCCCCGAAGTTCAGTCTGGAAAGGACCTACATGTTGGGGCCGCAATATGTCAAACTTGCTATATTCTTCTATTACGCTATTTAGACATCGCGTGTGATACGACCATCCCAGTCTACATGCGGCTCCTTACTCGTGATGGGCAAACCAAGCGGAGGGTGTGGTACGTGTCGTGCGAGGAGAGTCAAAGTAAGTAGTATGGCCTTGTCTATGATCCACCATCCTATCGTCGTATCGAAGACACCGGCGCCTTCCATCCATTCCATCTGGTCTGATCACTGCTCTTAGTGCGATGAAACTAGACCAGTCTGCGGTCGTTGTAGGAAAGCAAGGCGGACTTGTTCCGGCTATCGAGACCCGCACTCGGTATGGTTTAGAGACGAGAGCGATGCAGTAGCCCGAAGAGTCAAGAGATCTGCCAATTTAGACACAGAATCTTCCTCCACAGAGCCTTCGGTTTTGACGCTAGCAAGACGAAACACCTCCCAGGGAGTAAATCCTGGACACTACCCTCTGCGGTTCCCCCTAGCGATAGTTAACTTTGCGTTGGATCATACCTTCCAAGCCACATGCTTTTTCCTGAACACGTACACGTGGTTCAATGCGTCTAACACGGTGGAAACCTCCTTCAAACATGGTGCCGGTTCTGCCGAGTCCCTTGGCCAGAAAGCTATGATGGCTAGCATTGCATCCGTGGGCTTAGCGAATCTTGCTAGTATGCAGAGGTCCTCGTCAATGCGGCTGTCGGCTCGGCGCGAGTACACTAAGGCTCTGCAGCTGACGAACTCAGCTTTATGCGATCCGAAACTGGTTACAGCAGATACCACGCTAACCGCGATCGTTTGCTTATCATTATTCGAGGTGAGTTTGACTTTAACCATTGACAGAGCATATGGCTGACTGATTTATTAAGATTATTGCTTGCCAGAGAAATGAGAGCCTGCTATCCTGGACCGAACACTCACAGGGGGTGGCAACTGTCCTTGAACTTCGCGGCAGAGATCAGCTTCGGCGCGAAGGCGGGTTCTGGATGTTTCAAGCCCTCCGTAATGAGGTGGTGCGTGTTATCGCAAGTCTCTTATATAGAATCTGGCTAATGACCCCTTCAGCTCCTCGGTTGCCTACAAAAGAAGACGAGACTCCCTTCTGTCCTGATCGATATGTCTGATCAAGTAGCTACCGACCTGACGTCTTATACTCTTCCAACTGACGGAGATCGACTAGTTAAGGTCATGGCTAAGTTCGCCGGCCTTCAGGCTGATGTCCGAGAAGGAATTCTCTCGGACAGCAGTGAGATTGTGAAGATGGCCACGGCCATAGACTTGGAGCTAGAGCAATTCGCTAGTAATGTTTCAGCCAGTTTCACCTACAAAGTAGAGACACAGCCGGGCAGTGTCTCATCCTGCGAGGACGAGAAGGGCAATTTCTGCCATTACCAAGGGACCTATCATATCTATCAATCCGTCTGGTCCTGCAATATTTGGAACAACTACCGCTACATCCGAATCCTCGTTAACGACATGATCCTGGACCATCTGCGATTGATGGCATTGGGTGGCCATCAAGTGCTAGACTATGGCCTCTTCAAGGCCCAATGTATTCGGATCCGTGATCTGATGAGGCAGCTCGCCACGGACATCTGCTGCTCTATTCCTTTCAAGTTCGGAGTTGCTGGCAATGAAAGCAAGAATGTCTTCGATTCTCCGCATACCTATGCGGGCACCGGGTTCACTTTGCTTCTGCCGTTGACCATGGCCGCACTTGTTGGCGGAGCTTCCAGCCCGATGCATAACTGGGCTATGAGATGCTTCAACGTGATTGGTCGGGAGATGGGCATTGGGACCGCTTTAACCATCATGACCGTCGTAGGGGAAGAACAGGGTGGGCTACATTGGATAGATGCGATGGAGTCTGGTGACACCGTTTGGCAGTGAACTTGCCCAAGACGCCTCCATCGGCGGGGAGAATGGGGAAATGGGTCTCTATGATTGATGCATACGTGTAGTATATCCTTACGAATAGACTGAATTGAATGTATATACTCTGTAGAAACAAACTCTTCTGTGTATGATGCACCGTGAAATAATGCCGATGGCTGGGATATTCACACCAAAGTGATGCCTGAGGCCTCCACAACTCAACGAGCAATCACGTGCCGCACTATACGATTGACCCATATAAAAATCCTTTCGATCGGCGCACTTTCTTTCTTCTCCTCACACTTTTCATACCTCACGAACGCATAATCAACCTCCAATTCCTTCTTAATTGACCATAGGATGGCAGGTCATATTGGCGTACTAGAGTAACCCTTTACCCCGGGCATAATTGGCTCCCCTACCGCACTGAGTTCCATCCCGGAGCTCGTCTGTGCAATGGTGGTCGGAGTCACCTGCTGCTCAAACATTCCCATCGACAAATTTCAATTAAGTATGGAGTGTGATATGATCGTAAGAACGAACGTAGAACAGAACCAGATGCATGCACCTAGCGAATGCAGGATCAGCGACATAAACTGCAACAACAGTTGCCTTGGTGTAGTTCGCATAATTCGCCTCTCAGGGTCTTTGGCTGCTTCGGGCCGTGGGATGTCATGACGCGTCCCGGGATCCATGCAAGAAAGTCCAGTACTGTGGAATCACTGGAATGGGGCATTGAATGGGCTTCCCTTCCATAACGTTATTCGAAGACAAGAGGGGGTTGTCTCATTGGCGTGACTGCCTGCCAAATCATAATGAATAGACTTTCCACACCAGGAACAATCCTGGCTGGTTGGGGTCGAAAGTTCCAAGCGTTGCTTTGCAGCCATTGGGGGCTGCTGCTGCTGCTGCTGCTGGTGCCCCTGATGCCAACCCGGACGCTTGATTTTCTCCTATCCTTCATGTATTGCTTACTCTGAAATTAAGACTTCTGGGCACCTGCGCCATCACTCCGATCAATACTCCCTCGTAGATATTTATCTACTATCGATTATTCAGTTGTTTTCAACAGCAGATAACGTGGGCCAATATTGGGCCGGCAAACGGACAACTATTAATATCGTGGGACTCTAACTGAATCAATCCATCGTTGCTGCTCTTCTGCTCCCCACCTCTACTCTCCGCCGACTCCTCTCTCTCTCTTTCTCTCTCTCTGTCCTCATTTCATCCCTGGCCAGCTCCTTTTACTTGTTTCCCTGCCCAATTTCCCCCTCTTCCTCCTCCTCGTCGACTACTTTTGCTGTGCATCTCCCGACGCTTTTCCTGGTGTAAATATGCTTTGCCTCTCAGCTTGAAGGTTTTCCCGAATCCCCCGTTCCGGAAGCTCGGCTCGTGCTGTTGCTTTGCTGGAGACTTTTTCTCCAACTCGCCTCCCCTCCCCCCCTACATCTCACTCCTGCCCCCCCTCCTCTCCTCTCCTTGTCTTGGGGTTTGTGAGACCGGAATCTCACCCCCTGTCGTCGCGCAAGATACCCCGCCATTCTGTTAGAGTCTTGCGATCATGGTGGCCGGAATTAGCAAACGGCAGCAGTTCCGCAATGAGCGGGCGCTGCAGGACCTCATTCGGTCGGTCCCTGGAAATGACCGCTGTGCCGATTGTCAGGCGTTGAACCCAGGTGAGTTGTGTCGCCGTACGTCTAGTACCTTGTTCAGAGTGCTAATGGATTGTTTTCTTTGGTATAGGATGGGCTAGTTGGAACGTACGTCTCCCATCAACCCGGTTCATACATACATGCAATGCATTCTTTCGTTTAGTGAGGAAGGACAGGATATACTGATTGGAATACCTGAATAGATTGGAATCTTTATCTGCATGCGATGTGCGTCTTTGCATCGCAAGCTGGGCACACATATCTCCAAGGTCAAATCTTTGAGCATGGATACATGGACGGACGATCAGGTCGATGTGAGTTGTTATAGTGATCCCGGGATACGTTTCGCAGCCAGAGAATGAATTCGCTAACCGGTGGGATTGTCTAGAATATGAAATCGCACGGAAACAACATCATGAACAAGATCTACAACCCTAAGAACGTCAAGCCGCCTGTTCCGACCGACGTGGACGAGTCCGACGCTTGCATGGAACGCTTCATTCGCCAGAAATACCAGCACCGCTCCCTCGACGAGGTGAAACAAAAGCCTCCCAGTCGTCATGATTCGGGCTACGATAGACCCCGCGCAGAGGACCGGTCGCCGGAAGGCTCTCCTCCTCCTCTCCCTCCCAAGCCTGCCAGGCCCTTTGGCTTTGGTCTTCGGTCCGCCTCATCTGCGACTAATCTCAACCGGATGTCCAACAGAGGTTCGGCAATCTCACCACAGTCGGATAGCTTCGGTGCGTCGGGAATCTCAGTGAGGAAAGGCTCGGGAGATGCGTCGTTTGATGCGAAGCTGGCGACCCTACGGGATATGGGCTTCGCAAACGAGCGCCGCAACGCGATCGCCCTCCGCGAGCTGGACGGCAATCTAGACAAGACGATCGAGACGTTAGTGAGGCTGGGAGAAGGCAATGGATCTGTCTCGCTTGCCAAGTCTCCGGCTGCGCAACCTACTCCTGATGCTGGCAAATCTTCCAATCCATTCGATCAACTGGATGCCAGGCCCGCTACTCGCCAAGCAAGTGGGAGCTACAATCCGTTCGATGCACCTGTGCAGTCTCAGCCGCAGGCCCAGCAAGCCCCGGTGCAATCGCTGGAGCAGTCTTTTCAGAACCTGCAGGTCGCGCAGCCCTTGTTTCCACACTCTACCGGTGGCTATCCAATGCGGCAAGTTTCGCTCCCTCAGCCTCTATACCAGCAGACGGCGACGCCCCCGGTTCCCACGAACTTTGCCCAGAACGCATATGTCTCTTCTCCGCAGCCACTAGACGGTGGCAACAATCCTTTCTTCCAGACCGGAGCTCAGCCGCAGGCCAGCATGACCCCTCCCGCGTCCAATCTCGCCCAGACAAACCCCTTCTTCAGTCAGGTTGCACCGCAGCCGACCGGGATGCAGCAACCACCTCAGAGTCAGGCCGCATCAAATTCCCCATTCGGCCCCCTTCGACACGCAAACACCATGCCTGTCATGCCCTCCACATCGCCTTTCGGCCAGCCTTCTCCATTCCAATCGCAGCTCCAGTCCCAGCCTCAGTCTCAGCCTCAACCCCAAGGGCAACCGCAACCGCAACCCCAATACCAAATGCAGCAGCATCTGCAACAACCGCAAGGGTCTCTGAACCCCTATCAAGCCATGACCGCGCCAGCTACCCCCCAGAACACAAATTACCTGGCGCAACCGCAATACGGATATCAAGCATCTGCGCAACATCTAGCGCCGCAGCCCACCGGCCGCGTCGACAAGAACAGCATCCTCTCCCTCTATCAATTCTCCCCGCAACCTTCCGCCACCCCAGAGCAACCTCAATACCGACCTTCCACGGCCGTGAACCCTCCCACTCAGACCGGCCAGCCTTCCCCCTTCAATACCATGCCGCAACAACAACAACAATCACAACCTTTCAACACCATGCCCCAACAACAACAACAGCAGCAGCAGCAGCAGCAGCAGCAGCAACAACTCCAACCTCAACAACAACAAAGCAACCCCCTCACAGACCCCCTATCAGCAAGCGGCACCCGCAACCCCTTCTTCACCACAGCTCCCCAACCAGGAGCTCCCTCCTCGGTCCCAACCACCACCGCACAAGTAACAACAACACCCTACCTCACCACCACCGCCCCACCCCAACAGCAGCAACAGCAACAACAACAACAAACACTCAATGTCTACGGAGGAATGCCCAACAAGCCCACCGGCTTCCCACGAGGTCACATGAGCCAGCAAAGCGTCGATATCAACGGCTTCCAGAGCGGACGACACAGTCCCGATGCATTTGCCAGCTTGAGTGCACGATATGGATAGTTTCATCCCTTATCTTTCACTTTTGAAACAAATCTATATATATCTTCTATCTATTGCACATTCTTCCTTTGATCATATATATATATAACCCTTGTGCCTTTACTTGTGAACTCGTCGTCTTGGACTTCCACTATTTTTATATGGCCTCTTGCTGGAAGGGAATCTGGACTTGGTGAGGCGAGTGTAAAGTAGATTAGTTTAGCTGACTGCATTTTTTTGGCGTTGCGTTTGTGTTTTGTTTCTATGCTTTTGAGGGTTTACGCGGTATATATCTATATTCCTATATTTGCTTTGTAGTTGGTCTGGTGGTGCGATCATTGAGTATCAACTACTTATATCTTTCTTCATTTTCTACTTTTGTTTTCAGCCGGCTTTTTCTGTGGTGGAAAGGTATATAGTGGTTCGTTCTTGCTCTGTTCACTTCATCGGGGAAATTGTTGCATAGAGATAAACGTTTCTAGTTGTTGGATATATATCTGGATAGCAGGGCAAAAATCAATTATATAGCGACTTGGGTATATGGTAATTTGAATACAATACGATGCAACAAAAATGTCCATATTAAATATGCAGAGGTATCCGAGGTATTATTCCAAAAATGTCCACAAATGAATATACAGCTTAGTATAATAACACAGATCATATCTTCCCGACTATATGTGCACGCATCAAGCTACTAAGCCCAATTTGCCCGATCGTTCATCCGCCGGTTCAGCTCTTCCCAAGCGGGAAATGACCAAGATGATGATTTTCTGGACGGTTTTGAGAACGGCCAGGCCGGCAACTCAAACCCAAAAATGGTTGTGCGTTTGCGGCGCTGCCATGGCCATGACCACGACCAGGACGATTGGGACTGGCTTGAGAATATGGATTTCCAGAACTGCGTGAGACGTTGCTTGTGCGTGGGCTTGGTGAAAGCTTGCACGATGCGATCGAAGTGAAGATCCCGGCTCTCGCGCTGGCGTTGTATGTACACACTGTCCCGGGCGGCTTGTTCGGACGGGTCAACGCACCAAACGACTATGTCGCCCCGACGACGCCAGTCATCATGCCAGGCGGAGTTCCAGGTGCGGTGGCATTCCTTATAAGCGGAGAAGCGGAGGAGACTCTGTAGGGTGGGTTCTAGTTGGGCGAAGAATATGAGGTAATCGGGCCATTCGTGCGGGGTTTGGGACTGGTACTGTCTGGGCAACTGCGAAGATTTCCAATTATACTTGTCATAGGATGGCCTTCGAGGGAATCTGCGCAGACCGCCAACCATGTTCGTCCGCAGAAACGTCTCAGGATCGGCGTAGAACTGGTCTGCCTCGTCCAAGTACGTAGCTTTCTCGGACGCGTCGAGGCCGACAGGAGGCTCGCAGGATAGTGCCCAGGCGCTGATGGTGGGGTAGACCATATGTGAGCGCCAAGGAGTGCTATGGCAAGGCATGAGGAACCCAGCTGTGATCCCGGGCTGAGAAGTATCGGTCATATCGTTGGAACCATGGAACTGTCGCTGGTCCCGAAGGTAGGACAACACGGCCGCTGGGCCGGATGCATGGATGACTGTCGTATAAAGTGCAATGACGGCGTTTGCCAGTAGCAAGAAAACCAAGGTCAGCCGTCTGGGGGTGTGTCTCTGACTTCCCGCGGTCACCGCGGGACGGAAGAAATTCACCAGAGCAGGTGCAGTCAGGACGTGCAGCGAGGGCAGCAATGGATAAATGAATCGCACCTCCTTGTGCGATATCTGCGACAGCCCAAGGATCATGATGAGGCACACCGAAGCAAGCTGAACCTGCATCGAAGCCTGCAACTCGCTGAGTTCACCCGATCGCGGTCGGGTAAATGAATTGTACAAGCCCACAACAGCGAAGGGCAGTGCGGTCGTTAAGAGAAGGGGAAGCCCCTGCGACAGATAGTAGTGCCAATCATTCTTTCCATAGAAGACCGCCAGCGACTGGGCTAGGTTGAAGTACAGGAACCGTATGGGCGGAAAAGTCCAGAATCCATAGAAGAACCGATCTGCTGTAGTCGATACGGCCAGAACAGCTGAACTGTAGGAGTGTTAGAAGTAGTTGCGTACTTGAAACAAATGGAGGGAACCGTTAAGCTCACCCGCAGAGTAGAGCTTCGCGGACAAGCGTCGCCCGTCGAAGGGGAGTGCTCCGGTACAACAACAGGCTAGCAAGTACCATCCAGATCAGAACGTTGGTGGGTCGCAGTATACATGCCACAGCCGCCAGCACAAGGCATTGTCGAAGCCTATCCCCAGGGTTAGAGTTAGTGCATTTTCTACAAAGCTGCGTGAAAACATAAGGTCGTACCTGCTCAGAACAGCCGTGTCAGACTGGTCCTCGTCCGGTTGGGACTTTAGGCTACGCCCTTTTGGTTGGGTGGTGGTTGAGGGATCCAACGACCATACCCATGGCCACAGATAAAGAGCAACAATGGTAAGGGAGGTCTCGAGGCAGTTCGACAAGGTCCTTGTGGAGCAGAACCATTGCCACGGACTCACGATGGTCAAGGCCAGCTATATTCTGTGATTAGTCCTGATGAGACGCATGCTGGTTGGAGATCTGAGACATACTGCGGCCCAGGCCTCGTGAGACAAGGGATCATACACGCGACAAGCCAATCGCCAAGTATATAGGTCACCAACGGCGGCGATAACGGCTTGGGCAACCTTGGGGGCAACGACCAGGCATTCCGCTTGCCATGCAGGGGAAATGTGGAGTAGGCGAGCGAGCAGATCGGTGGTGGCATAAACAGCGGTAAAGAGAAGAGGGTGTAGGGAAGATCTCAGCTGGTGGCGCCATTCCTGCACAAGGACGTCGTCATTGATTATTAGTCTTGCAGAGCCCCAGCAGATTGGCTGAAGAGTTGTGATGATGACACCGGGTTTCTTGGAAGATGCAGGGAGGTACAGAGCGGAATGCTCCAATGGAAAGGGAGAACTCACCCAAGTGATCCAAGGCGCATGGTCGTCTCCGAATGCGGCCCGCCAAGCGGGCTCGAGAGATTGGAAGAACTCATCGGGTTGGAAAAAGGTCCGAACGGTCCAAGCGTTGAGCAGACGGAAGGCGACGAGGAAGAGGAAGATGCGAAGCGAGGATGGCGGGGTGGAAAGGAGGAAGGCGGAGGAGGAAGATAAGGATAAGGAGGATAAGGAGGGGAAGAAGGAGGAAGACAAAGAGGATGGCCTCAGGTGACCAGAGCGGGAGGAGGAATCATACAGAAGAGAGGCATCGGGATCGGAGACATCAGCGTCGGCGATGTAGTCGCTGTCCGATAAGGATGAGGGGGAGGAAAAGGAGGAGGAGGCTGTTGAAGAAGAGGCTCTCCGCCGACGACGAACCCCAGACATGATGGATGATCGGGGGAATTATTTACTAGTCAGGCACACACACCGACCCCAGATTTTCTGGGATGATGATTAAGTTATGGATCCAGGGATGAAAAATGGACGATTGTGATGGAAGTGGTTGGGTGGATTGGGGAAGGTACCACGGCGTGCAGCACTAGTTCAGTGCAGCCACTAGTCACTAGTCACTATGTAGAATAGTCACTAGTAGTGACTTTCTTAGGTAGTAGTAAGTAATAGTCACAGTGAACTGCCAAGGTTTACAGGTCACGATAAAACTGCCATCTTTTGTTGGTTTAGTTTTTTTGTTTACAGGGGAAAGCGGAAAAGGGAAAGCAGAAAGATACCACTTGGTCCCTTTCTCAGACAACCAACCAACCAATCAATCTCGTGTTCTCAGTCTGGACTGGGTCGGACCGATAACAAGCGTCGAGATCCGCTCCGTGGGTCTCGAGAGTTGAGTGGAAGGAGAAAAGAAAAGAGTAATTGTCGGGATGATGAGTGGCTGCCCAGAACCTCCAAGGAAGGCGGCCAGAAAACGCAGGCCACCAGGAAGTGGAGCGGAGCCGCCCGCCTTAGTCAGAAAGACATCATGATCGCTTCCACCTGCACTTAGGAGTCTTCTCCGCGTCCACCTGCGCTTAACGGTGTAGCTTCGGCCTCGCAAATTTCCTGTCTACCACAATTCGTCTGATTGCCGGCCAAATTGGTAAAAGCCTTCCTGTCACTGCTGCACTTCTCTCCTCCCCTGCCTCAACCCTTCTTATACCGTGTCTTTCCCCCCTTCTCTCTGCTTCGTCTGTTCTTTCTTTCTTATCTTATACTTCCCAGATACCCCCCCTCAGTCCTTCCTCTTCCTCTCCTACTGCTCTCACATCTCTCTTCCTCTTCCACATACTAGCCTCTCATAGCCTCTCATCCTCTGACCACTGCTTCCTTAAATTGTCCCTGATTCTTCTCTCACACCATGGCGTCCAACGGTACCAATGGAACTAACGGCCACAATGGCATCAGTTCCTACCATGCCTCCACCACTCAAGAGGCCATCCAGGCTGAGAAAGACTTCGCTGCCCACAACTACCACCCACTCCCCATCGTCTTCGCTCGTGCCCAGGGCACCACAGTCTGGGACCCCGAGGGTCGTCAATACCTTGATTTCCTGTCTGCGTACTCCGCTGTCAACCAGGGTCACTGCCACCCCAAGCTGGTGGCGGCTCTCGTCGATCAGGCCTCCCGTTTGACTCTCAGTTCCCGTGCCTTTTACAACGATGTCTTCCCCCGCTTTGCCGAGTTCGTGACCAAGTACTTTGGCTTCGACATGGTCCTGCCCATGAATACCGGTGCGGAGGCGGTCGAGACCGGTATCAAGATCGCCCGTAAGTGGGGTTATAAGGTCAAGGGCATTCCTGAGAACCAGGCGGTGGTCCTGAGTGCGGAGAACAACTTCCACGGACGCACAGTAAGTACCGGAATATCGCCCTGTGTAATTGAACTTTGACCCAGACTGACCGGTGTTCTCTGGTTTAGTTCGCTGCTATCTCCTTATCTTCTGACCCCGAGTCGCGCGAGAACTATGGCCCTTACCTGCCCGGTATCGGCTGCACCATTCCCGGAACGGACAAGCCTATCGCCTACAACGATAAGGCCGCCTTGCGGG